TCAATTGCATAAATTAAAAACACGAGATACTTAGGTATATAATTTTAAATTAAATTCATATTTTTTTTTATCATAATAAAGCCATTATTTTAATAAATCAAAGATATTATAGATTTAACTAATATCTCGGTTGTATGCTACGCAATGACTTAAAAACTATGATATTATGGTATATACTCCGCAACAGCACAACACTTGCTACTACTAGAGCTTGAACGGACCAACGGGTCCCGCCGGCGACAGGGAGAAACCGGAGACGATGGCATCGTAAACACAATGGTGAAACGGAGGCATCTCCCCCTGCGTCTCCGCTATTCTACAATCCTCGCACAATTCTCGCCTCTGGCTGCCCTGAACCGCAGTTTCCGCCTCTCTAGTTCTCTGAGGATTTACATTCACAGGGAAAGAAGATCTGTAATTTGAATTCCATAGCCTGTTTATGTTGTTTGAGCTCTGAGTATGCAGATCGCGAAATCGACCTTCGTAATGATACGTACCGTATGTAGGCATCTGTGGATCGATAATATGGAGATGGTTCAAGTTGATAACAAACACATCACCTGGAGCAAGCTGTGGGGCCGGAGGTAGCTCTACAAAGAAGTTGAAATTCTTCTCTCGATCTAAAGCTGAGAAGCTAACCTTACCGGCGACTAGCATCTTCTGTTGTTCAAGCGGAATCTCCGGTTTCCTGTTGTCGACTATGCAGGTAGTCAGATGAAAATACGAAGCACCAATCATCTCATTCAACATGGTTCGGAATTGTTCAAAATCAAGAGCAGGACGGATCTCAACGTTGCCACAGTATATCCGTTGCTCACAGATGTATAAAACCACGGGAAACACCGCCGCATTGCGTACTTCCGCCATCTTCTCCGATCAATGCCTGTGAATCAAAAAGCAGATCTAGTGAAAGTGTTAACGGTGCCATCGCTCAATTGGAGGATTTATGTAAGCAACCAGAGGTTTTTTATATTTGGTAAGTATGACCCAATTCCAATTCCAGTTCCAATTTGGTATCAGTGTTGATTCTGGATTCATATCTTGGCAGTTGTTTAGGGCTCATCCAATTTCCTTCAAGAGATAACTAGCATATCCATAAATTAGGCATTAACATACTAATCTCTATATCTATATCTATACTATATTATAAATCATTTTAAAAAAAATTCTTAAAAACCATTTTTTATGCATGAAGTACTGTATATTGATGCATATTACCTAAAATTCAATATTACAAATAAATTATGAATAAGTACAACTTATTAAAGCTCCATGTTTGAATTCGTGTAACTAACTGCGGATAAACATAACCAATTAGAGGATAAACATCTCATTTTAAAATATAAAAAATTTAAAATATATAATTAAAACAATTATCGAGTTCTAACAAAATAATTAATTATTATTTTTATAAGAAAATTATATTATTAAACCAAATATAAATTACTTCGTTATTAAACTTAAATTAAATTATAATAAAAAAATTATACAAAAAATAGGATTTTTAAATAGTTAATTTGATACTAATATTGATATATTTTTATCAAATTTTTATGATATCTTCAAATTTACTTTATTCAAAAATAAAAACATTATTACTTTTTCAAAATCACATAAGACCATGCTATAACATCGATTGAGATAAAAAATAAAATAAAATATTAAAATCAAGATGTATCTCGTTGCCTTGTACGAGTACTCTTCTAGCATTATTAAAAAAATTCTTAACAACTCCTAAAAACAACTTATAAGCCTAATGCAAGATAAGGGTGTGCAAAAAGTCATCAAATCTACCAATCTTATTACAACCAACTCAACATAATCGGATATTCAATTGTAATTTGAGAGGATCAAATCCAAAATTTGTAACAACCAAATTGAAACATTTGATTCGGTAAGATCAAACCAATCCAATTCAATTATCCTCCAACTACCATCAAATTAATAACTATATATAATTATATTTGCCTACCAAACCAAATGCACTGCTAACTGAACAAAATCATGATGGTATTATGTAATTAACGTCATGATGCCCTCATAAGCGATTAATTATATAAGTTCAATGATAGAGAAAAACAATACAGTATAATTTGAGTCATAAATAGATCAAAACATTTGTAATGACAAAAAACAATCCAGTATAAGTTTCACCAAATCATAAATAACGGATTTCCTAAAGGTATTTAATAAACAAAGTACTTTCTTCAAAAGTTCTATAAGTTCATAACTCGAATATTCACATATATCTCTCTGTACATCCTCATTGCTCGAAAGATACTGAATCAATTTTTTGAAAAATGTGCACAACAACTAAGATCCTCATTGGAACAGAGTATATCTAAATGAAGTTCATCCTTCTTTTCAAACTTTATTAAAATAAACGCAACAATTAATTTTATGTATGTGAAGATGTCCAACTGTGTTAATAGGGTATTCGATGAGACTTTTAGATTTATAGGACAAATTGTGTGACTTATATAAAAACGTCATAATAAGCTGAGCACAAATTTGAACAACTTAACAAATTATACATTACACAATTTGGGGTCGTTTATCAAACATTTACTTAGTAAGTAAGTGCTTGCTGGTAAAATTTAACACTATCATTTACTTAACGTATAAGATTTTAGTCCACCAAAACGTATCGTATGCAACAATTTACCCGACAAATGCTTACCGTGGTAAGACTCTTGGTCATTGTCTAGCTCTTACTGGATAGGATTATTGGTCTTTACTATATTCATCCAATAAGGTAATGTAACTTGGTAAGCACTTACCCGGATAACCGTTTGTTAAATGACCCCTAAGTTGGATGAAGTTGAACATCCTAAGTAAAAATATACTATTATCCTTTTTATGATACATTATTTAAAAAATATTTATGAAATGCTTATAAACTAATCTTGAGGAAAGTCATATAAAAAGGTTAACAAACATTTCACCTAGATTGTCCAACTTCGTCCTAACGATTTATCTTTCAGAAATAAGGTTATCTTTTGTATAATTTTGTTACAACTTGTTATAATGTCTTTATATAAAACACATATTTTAATGTCATATTTAGATTATTATTGGGGTGTTTTAAAAAAACCGTTGAATCACACAAGTCGGTCGAACCAAGTCGAAGTCGAACTGTTTTTGGTGGTTTGACGGTCCGTTCTCATCTGAAAAATACCCAAATCGTTCGGTTTGGTCTGGTTTGCGGTTTGAACATTTCTTTGAGCGATTTGGACTAAACCGACCCATCAAAATACACATTTATTAATTACATTTAGTTTTCAAATTGTAGATTCAATGCAAAATTCCAAAATTCCAAAATCCAAAATTACAAATCGTCCGTCAACTTTTTTCTAACTTATGAATATTAGTGGACTTGTTTAACTTTTTTCAAATTTCTCAATGTTTCTCCAAAATTTCAATTATTGTTAGTGGACTTGTTTAATTTGGGGATGTCTATTTATCTTATAATTCGACATATTATTTTAATATATTTTGGAGATAGATATTATATATTGTAACAACCCAAAGCGTTAAACTGGCCCAATAAATTCGAATTCAACTTAAATTCATAATGAAAAATATTGTTAGCCCACAACTTGAAGCTTTTAAGAGACTCACAAATACCATTTTTCATCCAAGTGGACGAGTTGTTACATATATTTTTAGTTCAAAACCTATAATAGATTCAAATCACCTAAACTGATCACACCAGATCATCTTTGACTGTTTTAGTCACTTGCTATCAAACCGCTCAGTTTAGAAGATTTCCTAAACCGCCATTGTGGTATGCTTTATGGTTTAGGGGTTAAAAATGTCCAAACCAAACACATACACCCCCAATTAAACGTCTGAATTAATGTGACAATCTTGTTATAGTGAAAAATGTATATTTGTACACAAAAGTCATATATAAAAATCTTTAAATAGTGACCATACCCATGTCGGTGGCGTATCACACATTGATCAATCAAATAGAGATTCAATAACTTAAAAACAGATCTATTGATCAAACTATAAGCAAATACCTAAACAACAAAGCCGGAAATTAAATCTAAATTGTGAAATTAAAACAAAAGTATTAGTTATTACTAACATATACTTTACTTATTGATACAGTTTAACCCCAGTATGTAAATCTAACTTAAAATTGGGGCATTTAAATTTTCTTATTTAATTAATTACTGATATATCATTTCTTTTTAGTTTAACATTGTTATTATGATTTAAATTCGGAAATCGCATATATCAGTATTGTCATTCACTTATGCATCGATTACAAGACTTCAAATACCGATTACCTATTATAACTATTCTAATTTTCATCTTATGTTTCAAATTCAGCGTGAATAAATTGGTCTGTAACATTTTAAAGACAAATTAACATTGAAAAAATCAAGCTATCGTAAATGAAATTCCATGTATAAATTATACAAATTTAAACAAAATACTTAAACCGATCTTTATAATTACTTACCAAAAAACGTACGATGAAGATTATTGTGAATCGCTATTATCGCGATGCCCCCGCCTTCGAATTCCCCCAAATTTGAAGTTCTTGCGTACAAGTACCCTCAAGTCCTTGCCCCTTTTCTTTTGTACTGAATTTAATAAAAAAATGTGAAAATAATTATATATTTATAGAGATCAATTTTTAATAGAGTAAAATTTTCATTCCTGCAGTTTTAAAATTATAAGATGACTATCATGGTTTATAAAAATGTCTA